AACCCTTTGTTGGCTTTTCAGTGCAGAAACATGAAGTAACTCCAGGCTGCAATACAGAGCCCCCAGTTTTATATAAATGCTGTGATATTCTGTACAGAATAAGGAGGGTTTTGTTACAGGTGAGTTCAGTGATGGGGAAGTGAGGGAAAAGACCTGATAAAGCCACTTCCAGTCACCTCTATACTCTCAGTTTAGCTGGGGCTTCTACAACACTCAACAGGCACTTTCACCACAGCTTCCAGGAGGGCAAATCACAACATGTACTACCATTAAAATGAATGTTTAATTCCAAAAAAACTACAATGAACACTCTAGAGAAGGTTCTTCATTTGGAACAGCTGTGCAGTTCTTTGCAGCAGGCTTGCAGCAAGCAACATCACCAGGATCTAAGGGAGGAAAAATAGCTATTAGCACTTTCAATCCAGATAAAAGCAACTTCTCTAATATCCAATCTAAACATCTCCTAGCACCACCTGAGGTTATCTCCTCTCATCCTACTACTTGTTAATTGGCAGACCAACCCCCACCCTAAGCTCCTGTCAGGTGGGTGTACAAAGCAGACAGAAGATTCCCGTGCCTCCTTTTCTCCAGGCTAAACACCCCCAGCTCCCTCAGCTGCTCCTCTTCAGACTTGTGCTCCAGACCCTTCCCCAGCTCCACTGCCCTTCTCTGGACACACAAGCAGCAACGTGGGCTGCAAGCCTGCTCAAACCATAACTAACAACCCTTTTCCATGTCATATGCTTCATATTCTTGCTTGAGAGTGGAACTGAGTACTCTGTCCTCTACAACAGCATAAAAAACCCCAAAGGCAGCAGGATAAGGCCCATTTCCAGCCCAGGAGGCCTAACTACAAAAGGTGTTATCTCCTCACATATAGACCATAGCACACATGAGTGTCCACGGCATCCTGCACAGAGGATTTCAATATGCGGTCACCGCGTTAAGAGCTGCTGGTTTTTCAGCCATGCAAACCCTCTTTGAAGTGACCTTCAATTTCTTTACAGTATCAGCCTTTTTTTTAAGTGCTCTTGCCTTCACACTTACTTTTGTAGCTCCCACGTGGTGTTTCTCATCCCCCTCTGACACACAGCAACTTGGCAGCAGTCCCTAGGAACTGGAGTCAGGTTTGGTTAGTACAGGTTTGGTTAGTGCACCTTGGGTGTAAATTGCATGGTACAGCCTTTGTCTCCCTCTTTTGCTTCTGTTCCAAGAGCCACCCACTCAGCAGGAGCTTTGGAATCCAGTCTATAAATCTCCCAACTGAAACTTTTGCTCCCCTATAGCTTCTGTGGAAGGTGCCCAAGGATACATCCCTACACCTCAGCAGGAACTTGCTCTTACCAGCAGAAGGGAATATTGTGTCCTTGACTTACGTTAAAAGCTTTATTCCCAGCAGACTTGGTACCACACAAATGTGTGGCAACACAGGAGTCTGGTGGATTTGCTTTATGGTCATGTCCACAGCTCACCAGAAACAGTAACATCCCAGCAGCCTTGGTAATGACCATACTCCTCTCCCTGCTCTTACGGGACTTCACTCAATAACCCAGCTGCCCATCTTTTCTAGTGAATCAATCCTGCTGATACATAAGCCAAGTTGTGAACAAGCCTGAAGTATGGCAAGCTCCAAGTTCTGATGAATTCCTCACAACCAACAGCAGTCTAATTAAGACACCAGTACTACAGATGGCTGCACAACTGTGACAGCAATTTAAAATAAGTACACACACACAAAGGAATGACTCACAGATGAGTGATCTGCTCGGATACTGCCAACACCTGCAGTGATCACTACCCAGCAATCTCTGGTACTACACCATTTCTACACTTAGTTCTACAACAGTTTAGTAGTTCCCCATGTTTACAGTCATACAAAGCTAATACACCAACTGTGAAATAGTATGGAACCAGTAACTGAGTGCTTACCTGTCAAACAGGTTGCTTCCATTTTTTTAACTCAGGGCATTTCACTCTGTTCTGTATCATCAGGCACCTGGTTAGAAAGAATTGGATGCACTTGCTGAGTTCCAGAGGCCAGTAGAGCCAGTTGTCACATGGATAATCAAAATGAAGACAAATGAAAATGTCTATTTTCATTTGTTACATGAAAACAGAAAGTAAGTACCCTGAAGTCTCTGAAGAGATTAGACTGTTTTAGCAAAAATACCAGGTTTAACAAACAGCAGAATGAAAACCAAGGACACCAAATGCTGCACTGGTGTAGCACTGCTTTTTGACCATCCCACCAGGAGAAAGCTGCTGGGTGCAGATACTGTAACACTGCAACGGCTACACACCCGCAACCACAACAGCTGAATTTTACATATGAGCTTCCTGCATGCACCACTGGGTGTCAGGGACTAAAAGGTACTCTTCACCAAACTGCCATGCAGCTGAAAGGGAGAACAGACTAACATGAACAGCAGCTTCAGAATTCTTCTACGTGAATATTTATACTTTTTCCAGAGTGCTTTGCTTCTTTTACTTTCAACTCTTTGTTCTACAGAACAGAATCCAGGGATTTTAACAGTATAGCAGTAAGCTGGCTGAGCTGCTCAGAAATTAACTCTCTTACTCTTTAACCCCCATATTTGAATAAATAACCCAAATATTGCTGCTCAGTATGGAACTGTAGAGCACCTCTTGATACAAAACAAAAATGCAACAAGTTCATGAAGTTACTCCACAGCAGACACCAAAGTGCTGTCCCTTCTTATAGCCACTGAAACAAGAAACAATAATCACTCCTGCATGATTAAAGGAGGAACAGACTGTTTCAAGCCATTTAGAAAACAAGCAGCAAAACATTGTGTTACAAGTCAGGTGCCTACACAAAAGCCTGGGCCAAAGACTAAATTCAGCCTATGTAATTCAGGTCAGTTGCACCCAAGTCTCAGAACACTGACTTGATTCCAACCAAGCTTTTCCACATGAATGACTTTTTGTTTTGTATCCCAAGCATGTTCCAGCACACCTAAAGGAGAACACTGGCCATCCCTGCATTCCTTGGAATCTACTCTAAGATTTGTCTTGCAGTTTTATCCCACAGAGCTAACAGGTAGTTAAGTGGGTAAAGCCAAACCACAAGTTTATTCTGTGAGGCGTTTCCAACGACATGAACCTACAGAAAAGATCCCATCGGGATAGACCTCAACACTTCTGGTACTATTAATTACCACAAGAGATAAATAAAAAACAAGCAGACTGGAAGGAAATTTGGTACAGATTCCAGTGTCATTTTATGTTGTTTCAAGACATTTTGAATAAAGATGGTAAAGATACATGAGCACCTCCTTCATATCATCAAGTTTTTAATTACAAGTTAAGGTACCTGAGAAGTAAATGTTAAAGGGAATTAACTACAGAACTCTGCAGAATCCTCACTATCAATTTCCTACTAAGTGTAACTTTCTGGTCAATGCAAAACTATCAGTTTAAGCAGTTAACCTGCTCACCTCGTTTTTACCTGAGAAATCAATATGAACATTCTTTGGGCAAATTTCAGTTAGAATAAATTCTTCCCATAACAGAATGAATGAACCATTATTAAGATACAGTAGTGTAATGTTGACAACAGTCCCTGAAATTTTCACAAATTAGTAAGCTTGGTCTGAGAGGCTTCTAGCCTACTGACAACCAGAGCACCTCATTCAGGTATATGCAGAACTTCACATGTCACACTAACCCTCAAATCAGCTTCAGACTTCTGTGAAATGGCATCCTGTATTTCTTCCTTGACTTTCTCTAAGGACCTGCCACCAGAAAAAAACAAGTAATATTACAAATCAGCATGTATGTGCATACAAATCAGCAGAACCTACAACAGTACTCAGATCTGTTCAGAAAGGCTCTTCTCACTCACTCTCTTCAGAGCAGTTGAACATTTTGCCAATCATCACAACAATTTTCTCACAGCATTCTTAAGTCTGGGCAAGATAAGCTCTCATGTTTTCTGAAACACTGGATTTTCTCAGTAAGAAAGGAGCAGCAGTATAAGCAGCTCACCAAGCTAAAGACACATGGCTGACGTGAAACAGGCAAAGGTAAAAAAAAGTCACAAACTTACCAAGATGCTAGTTCAGACTGGACTTCAGGTGCACTTCCTAAAATAAAGTAAATTGTTGTATCTAAGTAATACTTTCAAGTTTCCTCAGTATTTTAGCAGTTCATCAAGACTTGGGTGCTTTTATCTCAGTATGAAGCCAGCCAGCCAGCAGTCCAGTTACACTGGCTGAATACTGATAACACAACAAAGCATTTTATCTGCAATCAAACCACAGCTCAGTTTACCACACAGCTACCAACAAGATCCATCTGCAGTTGAAAAAACTGGAGCACTATGCCACAAAAAGGTAAAACTAAGGGAGTTCTCACAAAGAAGGCATGGAAGAGACCATTTTAAGACGCCTTCAAAATATGCTTTTTAATAAACCATCTACAAGAATTCAGCACTTCGAGTATTTTTCCTAATTCTACTTCTTTTAGTACATACGATGCAGAATTGAAGCACATCAACTCAAGTTTATAGTTGTATTTCATAGCAGCTGCATTTTTAAGTATATTTGCAGAATTGTCCCACTAAGTGAACTTGTTACAGGTCTCATTGTCACCACTGCAATTAAGTGTACAGCGAGGAAAGCAGAACCTGTTACTCTTCTAGCCACGTTTTCCAATTCAGACACACAGCAGGTAGTGTCTAGTTGCTGAAGAACGAGGCATAAAAGCTCCCCAATGTCTTTAGAACAGCCTGGGTTTTAAGCCTAGACAGGTAACTTGGAAATAAACCTGTCTCTAATGGTCATCTGGAACCTGGATTTCTGTTTCAAAATAGTTTTTTTTGTTGTCAAAAGGCAGCTAAGAAGTTAAGACTTCAGCTTTTATCTTCATACAACTACCTCCACCTAGGGAAAAAACCATCTGTTTCCTCAATACTTACACTTGTGTAGAGGTTTTCCAATCTGTTCCACACATCACAGGAATGCCCCTTTAGGAAAAAATATTTTGGAACAATGTCACTAGTTTAACTATACTTTTATCCCATTAACAGTTTAGCGGTTCTTTGATATTGTATTTGAAAAGCTTCCCACTAAGAAACACAGAATGTACTTGTTTCAACAGAAATACCAAGTTTAACCAGCACATCTGCATGAAAACCAACGATGCCAGCTGTTGAAATACTGTAGCACTGTTTTTTGAACACCGCATCAGGAAGACACTGCTGGGTGCAGATACCATACAGTGCACAAATTAGTCTGATACTTGCTGTGGGAATAGCACTACACTGAAGAAATCCAACAGTCTTACGCTGAAGCTCAGAAGAAACACAAAGCTCACCTCTTTTGCTACACCATGTTGCACAGATGTCCACCCAAGTAATGGATTCCTGAATCAGAAGGTCAGCAAACAGCCCTAAGAATTCAAGAGATCCCCAAAAAGTTACAACTGCTGCTGCACTGTGTGCTCATCTACAAAGACACAACCAAGCTACACTTCTGAAAATTTAGACCACCAAACTCTAGATTGATCAGTATTTGAATGAATGAATGCTCTTTGAGGCCATGCAAATATTGTCCCTTCATATAAGTAACACAACTAATACGTTAATCAGCTGTGGGTTGCAAAAGAAGGGTTTTTTCTAAGCACTAGGTTCCAGGTTTTTGCCTACAGCAAAAGACAATACCTGATCAAGTGCTGGAACAGACTGAACACATTCATTTTTTTACTACTTTTGAAGCAGAATTTGAAGTCACTTCCCAATTGACCATATACTTACTGTTAGCAGTAGAGGAAACTGACAGTTACCAACGCTTCCAGTTCTAGAGACAGGTAGCTTGAACCGAGGTAATTGTGGTGAGGAGTCCAGAATCTCACATACCCTCCTCAAACAACCCGATGTGCTTCCTAGTGCAGTTCTCTACCTACAGCAACAGCCAAGTGAGATCTCTGTTCCTATCTTGTAAGGTTTCCCTCCTCACCCACCCTCAGCTCAGTGTTTCCCATGTCAAAGGGGTTTTCCTATGCTGTATCCTTACAAGGCGCTTTCTTCCATGCAATTTCCTACACTGTCCCAAGCCATGCAAACTTGTAAGAAGCTTTCACAGCCATATACATGCAAGACTACCAGCTGCTCTCTGCTGTCCCTCCTGCTCTTGCAAGAGATACGAATTAAGATAGAATTTTACCACAGGGAAGCCACCAGAAGCTGCAGCTTTATAATACACCCTAGCACAGAAAGGGTGGGTGAGGCACCACAAAGATACTGAGGGGAAAGTATCCCTAAATCTTCAGCAGAGAAAATTCCAAACAGTGTTGTCCAAACCAAATCAGATAATGTTGCCCTGCAGCATTCAACATCAGGTAAAACTTTCATTTTTAACAAAAACTCCACTTTGAAGTATTCAAGAATTCAAGTTTTTGTTCAAAGAGAGGCTACAGGCTCTAAATTTGGTCAGACTGATGCAAGGTATGTATCACTGAACTCATACCTTGGAAGCTTCACATACACAGGCTGCTCAGCTGGGGAGCACTGCAATGTACTTTAACTATGGAGCACTTGCTTTTTAAAAATCTTCTGTGAAATAACTCCAAAAAAAAGCTATCTGAAGAAAGCAGAACTGAAACTCAAGTAACAGCTTACCTTGTGCAGCAAGAAAACCAAGAAGTATTTCATCTTCCAAAAGCAACATAAACTAGAAGGGAAAGAAAAGCAAAATGCTAAGAACTGTCATATACAGTCAAAAATAACTGAAAATAACTGAAGATTCCCAGAGTCAAAGCTAGAGTTCAACAATCAATTTAGAAGATGTAATAAGCTTAATATTCATGTATATTTATCCAATTCTAATCAGAATCGAAATTTAATTTATTTCTGAGTCACCCAACAGCTGAACATCCAAATTCATCACATGAACTGCAGAATGAGCAGGACTCCACGTGCCCCTCACTATGCCCTACCAAGAAAGAACCCCACGCCTAGATCCCGGGTAAGTGTTTCAAGCCATTGAGTATTTCTCAGGGACACACCTGGAAGAGTTACATTTAGCCATTAATTCTGGACTGGTTTTAGTTGTGACCTTCAAATGCTGAAGTAATTTTTGCAGTCCTAGAGCTATCAAGCTGCATTTGGGCAACTTCCTTTACTAAGGTTTGGGACCCTAATTCAAGCATGTAAATAACACAGTTTGACTTGCTCTCAATATTGAGCACCTACTGCAAATCTCCTCAGACTGTCAGTTGCATTTGAAGGAAATTTAACCAGCAGACAAAGCCTTTTTCTGACTACACACTCGTTCAGCACAGATTACATGCTGAACAGCTGTCAGCTAGCTGCTGACAGCAATTTGGTTAAGAGTAGCTAAATGAGACTGTGAGTTGACTAGTTTTTAAATCTTGCTGACACAAATTAACATTTTAAACATTTATTAGTTCAGCCATCAAAACTGCTGCACAGTAAGACTCAGTGATATCCAAACCACTTCTAAACACTAGCCATGTTTCATACTGACTTAAACACCTTTGAGAGAGGCATTTGCAATTGGGGCAATGCATGGTAAGTACTGTTCATAAAGAGATTTTAGCTTCTGCTAAGACATATTCACATTAGAAGCCATTCTGGACAGAAGAGGGCAAGAGGGGAAAAAATAATTTTTAACCCAAGATTCACTATACTGCTACAGATTATACTTACAACATTAGATTATTCTGTTAGATTAAGGGCAGAGATTTAGTTTTCTGAGAAGTTATTCCACATGGAATGAACAACCTCAATCATACAAAATTGGATTTTATTATCGTTCAAATGCATTAACCACATTTTGCACCATGCTTTTGTCAAAGTTGACCAACTACTTCTCCATTTTTATTGGCACTTGACTTGCATTAAGCTTCAGTTCTGTCTTCAACCCTTTAACTTTTAAAGTATTTCAAACATGCACCTCCAAGGCAGAAAAACAAATCTCTCAAGTATCACCCACAAAGAAATCTGCTAAAGGCACCCAAACTGCCCTTTTAACTTGAGCATACAGATGTTTGCATGCTCTTCTATATATATACTTTTCTATCCTGTGCTGTTGTTCTGTTAAAATATTTAGAACCTGTCTTCCCATTTTTAATTATGTAAATTCTATGATCCATTGGTTAACAGAAGTCAAGTTGCAGAAGCCAGAATTTCACCGAGATCATCAGCCACTGAAGGAGGTATATTGATCAAGAATAGCACAGAAGATATTCCAAAGCTTAGCATGAGGACAAGTTATTTTGTTTCTGTAACTGTCTCAGACAAAAGCCAAATATACTCACAGTAAGGCAAACGTGCCAAGGCAGCTGTGTGGAGAGCTCAAAACTGACTCCAGACCAATGTTTTAAACCAAAGAGGTTCATGAAAGAGGCATTTGAAGAACAACCACTGCCACCTCATTTGTTCATCTGCTTTTCACCGAGGTGAGCCTTGCAGAGGCACCGAGTTGTCTTCAGCACCATCTTCTTCATCCACTATTTCAATCACTTCAGGTGGTTTTGCACGTTTTCCTCCTGGCTTTGACTTTTTTTTACTGGGAATTGTGCTACTTAGAATGAAAGAGCTGTTCTCCTAAGATAATGGAAGATAGAAGTAGTCACAAGTCTAGTTTCAAAATACTTCAGATTTTAGTAGTAAATTTGCAGAGTTTAAGAACTCCACAGAGAACTGCAAAATTCCTATACACTTCAGCATTAAAGAGAGCGTGGACTATCAACCTCCTTCTGCAGTAAGAGATCAGGATTCACTGAGGTACTGTTAACTCTGGATCTAAGCTCAAGAACTAAATACCAAAGACATTACCTACCAATTCTTTAACTTTGGAACAGAAAGGCTAGAGTGTTTCTGAAGTTCAAGAGTGCTTACTTACCACTACTCTGGCATCAAGTTGTTCCTGAGTATCAGAATTCAAGTTGTCCTCATCATCACTGAAAAAAAAAAAAAAATTAGATCAAACTGCATACTTCTATAGTACCTTAAAATGTGTAAAAGCTGCAAGCCCTTAAGTGAGCAGTAACTGAATAACAGCATTGTACCTTTACACTGTCTTTTAGGCTTGCTAAAAGTTATTTACAACAGCAAGTATTCCTGACCATTTACCAGTCTTTTTACTGCACTAAGCTAATTTCTTGACCCTAAAGACCAAAGATAACACTTTGGTTTTAAATAATGTAAAAAGATATTAAAAACTATCCTTTAGTCTTTATTTCAGAACACTGTACTTTATTTGGGATAATATTAGAGGAGTGCATTTCAGGACATACTTCATTTCAATTTCTACCAACAATTACCAGTCTTCAGATCAAATTAAAAATACTTCCTTCTGTGAGAACTTTTAAGTCACATCTACAAAGACAGAACCCCAAGTGGTAGAATGCTTTGTTCCCAGAATAAACAATGCTTTCATAGGTTAAAAGGACAGAACTGAACTTGATACACATACACATTTATATGTTAGCTAAGCACAAAAGAGTAAGTAAAGATAAACTTACTCTGTCTCCTGAATAGGGGAAATGGGGCCTTCGTCATCTAAGTATTTGTGTTTCCGTAACACCACACACTCTTTTTCTAAGTCATCACTGGCCTGAAGGGCTTTTAAAGCTTTTTTAAGATGCTCCTCATATTTAAGCACTTCAATATATTTGAAAAATCCCTTTGCAGCTGCCTGCTGTAGAAAAAAAAATCTCAGTAAGATTTTATGATTCACAAGATTCACATTAAGAACTGAATTGTAACATTCTATCAATACCCATATATATTCTTGTTGTGTTTGCTTTGAAAATTATTAAACCTACATCAAGTGACCTGTTTAACGGAACTAAAACTTGTTTCATTGTTTTATTCTAGCAGAAGCGCAACGTAGTCCATTTCAATTCAACTTTTAGACTAAGAAAATATTTATCCTACAAAACAGAGGACTTACCTCATAGCCAAGAACCATCTTTAAGGGAATATGTTTCTTCCCATAATGTTCTTCAACAAAAGGGAATTGAAAACCTCTGTCCAAAAGCCTCCTTTTTTGTTCCTGAGGCGAGGCTGTCAGTGGGGGCCTCCCTGTGGGCATCTGTGTGCTCTCATACTTTTTCTTTTTCTTCTTTGAGTGAATTTTGTATTTTCGGTGTGCAGCGGCTTTGAACTTCTTTCCTCTGAAGTGATATGCAAAAATGGCCTTCAAATTGAGTTTTGACTTCTGCTGCTTGGAACCTTCCAATGATTTCGCTGGACTTTGGGGAGACAGAGAAGAATCTGAGGAGCTTTCATTGCCAGGTACTCCTGTAACAGATTCAGCTTGTTGCCTTGAAGATTGAGATCTCCTTTTCTGCTTTGAAGGTGCAATGGAGCACTCAGGGTAAGAAGCAGAGGCATCACTGAAGAAGAAAAAAGTATTTACTTTCAAAAGAAGGTACACTTTCATGATACATCAGACAGGTTCTCCACAGGAAAAATTCTGAACTGAAGATAAAAACTCACGTTTCTGAATCACTGCTAATCAGTAAAACCTCAGCTGAAGCTGCTGATGATTTAGACATGCTGTTAGGATGATCTGAAGACTCCCCAAGAGCAGCCGCTTTCTGCCTTGACTCCGAACGCTGTGTTCCTGTATTCCTTTGCCATGAATACACCTCAGATGGCTCCCTCTGCTGATGGCTGAGCAGCTCTTGGGCATCAGGGTAATCACAGCCAGAAGCATGGGATTCATCTGTATCAGTCATGTTTCAGTTTGCCCTAAAAAGCAATGAGAATTCAAGAAACTAAATAAAATTTAACATTAATCAGGTACCAAACTTTCCTCTACTCCACTCATGATCACAGGGTAAATTTACAAGGACAATCAATCTTGAGCAAACTTGAGCAGAGATTCTCCTATGAATCATGACCAGTTATATTCTTTATATTAACATTTAAGTGACAGCCACTAACCTAAAGATATTCACAGCAAAATTGAGATCAGATAATTTTTTAGAGTCTTTTTAGTTCAGCTCCTGCCCAAAGGAAGGCAAGAATCAATAGTGCAACAGATTGTTCAGAGACTTACTGAGATTAATTCTGAATGTTTTAACCCTCTCCCTACTAGGGGTAAGTCTTCCTCCAAAAAAGCACACATACAAGTAGGCAATGGTTTCATATACTTGTCATACATAAACACTTGCTGTCGTTTAAAACCTTTAAATTAATCCAAGAGCATGCCATCCTGAGAAGCAATGCCATCTTCCCTCTGTTCTTTTGTGAGCTGTCAGTTACCTAAAATTTGCTCTTAACAATCCATCACCCATTTGTTCACTGGTTATTAATCATAACAGCGACCAGCCCCAGAATTAAAATACTGATTTTCACTTGAATCTTCAAGACAACACAATCCAGCTCCTCAGTGGCCCAAATCTATACAAAAGGGACTAGAACATACAGCAAAAGAACCTGGTTTTCCTCTGTGACAGCCTGGAGTTATTTTACCTGCTTGTTAATTCACTTACTAGCCCTGTAGAGCCGTATTTTTTTTAAGTTTTTAAAACTTATTGTAATACACAGTACTATTTCAAATGGAATTATACACAGTTCAGTATCTGGAGACACTATAGCAGAACTCATCCAATAGCCTCACATAACCTGCAGCAGATCATTCTGAGAGCACATGCAAGTCAACCAAAGGATCAGGCCCAGCCAGCCTGAATTTAGGAAAGGCAGGTCCCAACTGACCCACCACATCTCCTTCTATGACCAGGTGACCCACTTAGTGGATGAGGCAAAGGCTGTGGATATTGTCTGCCTGAACTTTAGTAAAGCTTTGGACACAATTTCTCACAGCATTCTCCTGGAGAAACCACCTGCTCATGCCTTGGATGGATGCACTGTTCATTGCATGAAAAACTGGGAGGGCCTTGACAGTGGTGAATGGAGTTACATCCAGCTGGTAGCTGGTCCTAAGTGATGTTCCCCAGGGATCAGTGCTGGGGCTAGACCAGTTTAAGTCTTCACTGACAACTTGGGTCACAGCAGAAAAGGCCCTGGGGGTGTTGGTCAACAGCAGCTGAACATGATGCAGGGTGTGCCCAGGTGGCCAAGGGCAGTGGTGCCCTGGCCTGGATCAGCAATGGTGTGGCCAGCAGGAGCAGAGCAGGCAGTGTCCCTCTGTACTCGGCACTGCTGAGGCCTCATCTTGAATGCTATGTTCCACTTTGGGCCCCTCACAACAAGAAAGACCCTCATGCACCAGCTTCACTTTGCCTATGCGGGCATATCAATAACACTAATACACGCAAGGCCTGACAAACACTAAGCTCAGAAAGAAAACCAACTAACGCCAGAGCCAGGACAAAGGCAGTAATTCCACTCGGACCGCACAGGCCCTGCCTAGTACTCACAAGTCGCAGCTCGGCATCCCTCGCGGCCTCTACCGCAGCTCCGGCCTGAAGCGCTGAACAGCACGCAGATCCCTTAGGGAAGAAAAACAATCATCTAAACTTGCTGAAGAACTGACAAAGGCGCCAGGCACACCGCTCGCCCCCATCGCCAGGCTCGGATGCCTGCAGCGCGCTGCGGCCGGCGCCACGGGAAGGCCTTTCGAATGCGGGCAAGCGCCAAGTCACCGTGGGCCGGGGGCACCCCGCCGGAACCGCTACCGCTCCCGCGGGGCTCCTCACCCACCGCCGCCACACGCTCCGGTCCTTGGGGCACGACTGCGCACCGCCCGGACTATTCCTCTATTCCCGGGTCGCCCGGTCTCGGGCCCCAGCAGCGTGGATGGCGGCGGATCCACCAGACCGGATCCACCCACCTGC